TTGCACCTCCAGGGCGGAGCGTCACCGGTTTCAATCCGATGCAGCAGGATGTCTGTCTTTCCTGGTCGCTCCGTGAACATCGGAGAGAACGGCCGTAGGACGTCCTCCAGCTTAATCTTCTGAAGGTTATTGGCCGGGCACTTCTGTAGTGCAGCGTTGATGCCTGCAGGCAGGAAAGCTGGGGCCGCTGTGAAGTGGGTCGGGAGGGTTGGGCCGGTAATGCAGTCCTCTCGCCTGGTAAACGGAGTGAGCTCCGTCTGGCTTCCTAGCCGGTAGCCTCCACCAGGGAAATCAAGCGTCATGTTCTCGCCTGCAATAAAATCTCGGCCCAAGATTACGGGTACGGCGAGCCCCGGTAGATAAAGAAAGCGCTGACGCCGTGTCTTTTCGTGGAACGAAATTTTGAGCCTAACGGCTCCACCCGCTGGTTTTGCAAAACCAGAAGCTAGCTGCAAAAGAGTGTCAGATGGACGGAGCGTTATTTTTTTAGATTTGCATAGCTGATGTGCGTCGTCACCAATAAGCGAGATAGCGGCCCCCGTATCCAAAAGCGCGGCAAAAGAAAACCCAAGCAAGGTAATCGTCATGCGCGGTTCGATTATTTTTGCGATAGGCTGCAATCGACATACGGATGGAGCAAGCGTAACCCTTTGTGTGTTCCCAGCTGTCGTATTTGCCGTCGTCGGCTGTAATCTGGGATTCAGCGACGCCGGCCGTAATAGTTTCCCGACTGTGTTTCTCTGTTACTGCCCGGATTTTCACGGCCTCTTACTTCTCGAGGGTTGGCCGGGACTTGATAATCCCTCTCGCAACTTCCAGCCCTTCCGCCATTTGTTTGATTCTGCATTGACGATGCATTTGGGCACTCTCTTTGGAAGTGACCGCGCTGTCCACAATTGTGGCAGCGGTCCGAATACCTGCCTGAGCCACGTGCACCAGGGCGCTCTTCGGACATCCTCCAGTGGCCCCGCATTGAACCAGTACTGGAGTGCCTCCGGCTGCTTTCATGGGCCATTTTATGCCCGTCCCGTGGAGGTCTTTGTGTCGGGTATGCCTCGGCGCCTGTCCAAGCACATGCGGGTTCAAGAGAGTTTTCTGGCAGTGGCGGGGGCAGATAATTCTGCTTAGCGAGGAAGATCTCCTCTGTGCCGCGGGCATGCCGGGCCAGCTCTTCAAGGGTCCCAAAGGTGCGGCCGTGTAAGTAGGCGTGGTATTTTGGGTGACATTGCCTTATGACCCGAGCTATACTCTCCGACTCGAGGGCATCAGGTTTCGCCCTTCTTGTGAGTTCCTGTATTGCGCGAACATATTGAACCAGGTTTTCGTTCGGATGTTGCGTTCGGGACTCGAGTTCTCTCAGAATTTGATACTCGTAACCAGGGGGCAGGAACTCATCTCGGAATCTCCGCTCAAACTCCGCTATGCTCGTGAATGTAGTTTGCAGCCTTAACCAACACGCAGCACTTGACTGTAGCGCAAGCGGAAGTATTCTCTTAATAATGAGAGATTCCGAGGCGCCCGAGGCGGCTTTGTAGGTGTCCAATTCACCCAAGAAGTCAGCGACTAACTTGGTGTCGCCGTAGCCAGTGTAGACCGGCACCGTCAGCTGGGGGTGTAGCTCCGGCTCACGTGAATGCTGGACGGCGAGGCGCTGTGTGACCACATCACACATGGCTGCCACCTTCAAAAGCAGTTCGGCTTGCGCATCCGCCGAGCTCGTTCCGCTTGCTTCGGGCTTTTCGCCATCGTTCGTCTCGGACCGTAGTGTGGGAGACATGGTGAAAAAAAAAAAACGCAAAGCAGACAAGAAAAAGGGTGTGCGGCCACAGACGGTAACTCGACTAACGAAAGATGAACACGCCCCCAAAGCGTCGCCCGCGTGATTAAGCAATGCTTTGCGGCTCCAATTCAACGGGCAATCGCGCTGTCGTGAATACACGCAACGCCGACACGGTGCACTACTTCGAAGAGAAACGCCACGGTTGAAAAATCTTACCTAGCGATGAAACCCCGGACCCGCGTCATTTCGACAGGAGGGCAGCAAAACACGTTGGGCGCCATGTGGGAAAGTTGCCTTGCTGCGTGCCCAACCCGGCGGAACAACACGGAGCCAGGATTTCGGAAAACGTGAAGCTACATTTATTAGTAAATTGTAAACATGAAGTTAGTATTAACAAGGTCGTTGGTCGACACCGCCGCAGCGTGTACCTTTCGCTCCAGGCCCCGCTTCTCTCTCCCCTGGTCGGGGGGGGGGGGGTGTCGTGATGTGGGGAAGGCAGGGTTAGCTTTGCCAAAAGTGCAAGCGTTGTTCCGCCTTGGGATAGGAGGAGGGGAAAAGATGGGACTTAGGTGAGTAGGGGGGGAGGGGGGGGGGGGGAAGGCAAAATAAACCAGCAGCATTCATGTCTCAGTGAGCCAGTTAGCGAGTCCGGGCTGGGCTAGTGGCACTTAGCGGAAGAGCAGGAGGGCGTCATAGTTGCTCTGCTAGACCGGTCTCTCGTAGGAAACCCAGTAGGAGGGACTGTATGATCCGTCTTCTATGCCTGGGACCTTCAGGGAAAACTACGTCTGATGCTGTCATCGGTCGGATGTGTTGTGAGGATAGGGCGGAGAGAAACGTCCTTCGAGCTTCCTCGTGAAGAGGGCAGCCCCAGACTATGTGAACCTCGTCCTCTGTGACCGCACACCGCTGACAGAGCGGAGTGTCTCTGCGTCCAAACCGGTGGAGGAGCTTCCCTGTGTATGCGCTCCCTGTTCTAAGTCGGAAGAGCAGCGTCGCGTCGGACCGTTTTAACCCCTGGGTCAGGCAAGGTGGCCGCTTTGAGCTGCTCCAGGGGGAAATATCCGAGAAGAAAGCCTGGATGGCTTGCTGGTAGCGCTTGGGATTAGGAGGCGCCCTTAGTGTAGGAGAGAGGTCGTGGGCACGTAAGGCTATGCGGTCCACAATCTCGTTTCCGCGGAGGCCCACATGGGATGGGACCCACTGGAGCGAGATGGAGTGTCCATGTTCTTCAAGCTGGCGGACTACCCGTCTCACCTCGTTGGCAGTGGGGCATGGACCAGGTTTGCGTATGCGCTGAATTCCTCCACGTGAGTCCGTGAGGACAACGATTTGTTGTGGAGGCAGCGACTTCGTCGCAGTCAGGGCTTCTGCGATCGCCAGCAGCTCGGCGGTCGTGGACGACACCATGTGAGTAGTGCGGGCGCTCCAGTCTTTTTGTAAGTCCGGGATGTGGTAGGCTGCCGTGCTGCTTTGCCGAGACCTGTCCACCGAACCGTCCGTGTATATGTGTAGATGCCGAGGGTACCTTGCTGCTAGCTGTTCTTGTGCAGCTGCTTTGAGAACCAGAGGGGGCGTGTTGGCCTTCTTGCGGACGCCGGGTAGGAGTTCGGCTAACTGCAGGCCTGCCTCCCAAGGGGGTGTCCTGCCGTGCGGGTTGATTATCTGGGGGGGTTCCCATCCAAGTGCGGCAAGGGTCTTGGTGGCGAGGCTGAGTTTGGATTGAGTTCGGGTCCTGAGCCTCTTGATCAGGGACTGGCCAGGATGAGTCTCCCCTAGACGAATGACTTGCAGCAAAAGGCGTTGGGAGGCTTGGAGGTGCAAAGGAAGCGACCGGGCCTCCTCATACACCCTCTCGTTTTTGGCGCTTCTGGGAACGCCTAGCGATGTTCGCAGGCCCGCACGGTGTAGCCGTTCGAGTTTGTCGGCCTGACTGGGGAGGAGGTCCATGTATGGTAAGCTATACATGAGTCGGCTCACCACCAAAGAAGAATGAAGGGTCAGCATGGATCGGGGAGAGTTGCCCCAGTTCTGCCCTCCGACCCGGCGTACAGCGTTCCGGGAAGAGATGGTGGAAGCCGTGACGGCCTTTATCTGGTCGTGCCACTTGCAACGGTTCTGAAGAGTAATGCCGAGGAAGCGGTGCTTTGATACAAGGCGCAGGGGCTGCGAGTCCAGTTGGAGCTTGACCTCCCGCAACCGGCGGTTCCTTCCTCCTTCCTGGGAAGACCATGGCTGCTGCCTTGTGACCGGAAATTGAAAGACCTTGGTTCTCGAGGAAGGTCTGGATCTTGTTTATGGCGGATTGCATTATGGCTCTCAAGGTTGGGTGTCGGAAGCCAGAGACCCAGAAGCATAAGTCGTCCGCGTACATAGAAATGCCAATCGGGATCCTTGAGTCGGGAAGAGCGGCTGGGAGGCCCGCAATGGCGATGTTAAAGAGTAGAGGCGACAGGACGCTGCCCTGGGGTAGACCGCGTTGCACCGGTCTTGACTGGCTGAGTGTGTTGCTCAGTTTGACTTGGATTGATCTGTCCGAAAGAAAACCCTCGAGGAAGCCCTGAACTCTTCCCGTGATACCCCAAGAGGTTAGTTGGGCCAGGACTGATGCCGGTTCCACATTGTCGAATGCAGCCTGAATATCGAAGAATGCCGCCACGGTAGACTTACGGCTAGCTGCTGCATGCTGCACTGCACTGACAATGTCCAGGATACTGTCTTGTGCGGAGAGACGGGACCTGAACCCAGTTATATTTGACGGGAGTAGGTTGTGTTCCTCCAGCCACCAGATCAAGCGGGCGTGTACCAGCCGCTCGAAGAGCTTGGCAACGCATGAGGTGAGGGACACCGGCCGGTAGGACGATAAGTCTCCTGCTGGTTTGCCACTCTTGAGTACAGGGACCACCCATGCCAGTCGCCAAACCGCTGGAGATTCTGATGAGGCCCAGATATCATTGAACGACGAAAGAAGTTCCTGTAAACGTGAATCTGGCAGGTTCTGTAACATTTGCGTCGTGACCCCGTCTGGTCCCGGTGCCCCTCGTCTCTTGGAGGCTCTCAGTGCGGATCTCAGTTCGGATTCCGTAAAAGGGGCATCCATGCAGAAAGGTGTTTTATCCGCATGGCAGGGCGGCTTTGGCTGGGAAACGGCCGCGGCATAGAGAGTAGCAAAGTCTTCGGCCAGGGCCGCTTGTAGCTTTCCCATGCATAGGGCCAGAGAAGCGAATGGGAGGCTGTACATTCTTTTCCCGGACAGACTGTCCATAAGCCTCCAGATACGCCGGGCTGGTGTGGTTGCATCCACCGAAGAGCAGATCAAATCCCACTGCCGCTTGAAGCATTTTTTGGCATAGCGTCGTAGGGCAGCGTCAATCCTGTTAAAGAGGGTCTTAAAGGTCACGCCACCCTTACGTTGCAGAAGTCTCTGGGCCCTCCGTCTTGCTGCACACAGGTTAAGAAGGGTCAGGTCGGGTGCAGGGAAGGATGTAGGTACGGATGCCTTGATTGTGGCTTCTTTCGCCGCGTCGCTGATGGCCTCCAGGAGGGGTCGTGTAGATCGCCCTAGGTTGTCTCGGAACCGGTCCCAGTGAATAACGGAGATCTCGTGGACCCCAGGACGTTGTAGGCCTATGATGTCGATGAAGACTGGGAAGTGATCACTGCCCATGGTGTCGGCTGCAACCCGCCAAGACAGTGGGATCTCCGGTGAATGGGCTGTGACGTCGATGGCACTGAAAGTGCAGGGTGGCCGGAAAAATGTCGGGGAGCCGTCGTTGGCCACAACAAGGTTGTGTTCTCCAAACTGTTCTGCCAGCATCCTGCCCCTTGCATCTTCTCTGGTGTCACCCCATAGAGCATGATGAGCGTTCCAGTCCCCACAGATCACAACCGGATCGGTGATCCTGGTGCGCAGGGAATCCACCAAGCCGGCGACCTCCACAGCGCCCCCTCCTGGGCGGACATAAATTGAGATAATAGTGAGGCGCCGCCCGGCGATCTCAGCACGCACCGCAACGAGGTCCCGGTTAACAGTGCAGAGGTCAGAGACATCCACGACATGGTGAGGGATAGCTTTTTGGATATAAATTGCAGCGCTGCCGTTTGGAAAGCTTGGTATGGACGGGTTTTTATAAGCAAAATACCCAGGGATGCTGCGATTTCCTGGGAGACCAGCTTCGCAAAGAGCTAAAATGGGTATCTTCCATTGTTGAAGGTAGAGGGACAACTCTGCCAGTCTGGTCAGCAGACCTGCACAGTTCCACTGTAGAGCCACAGGGGTCTGTCGTCGCCCTCTAGCAGGGGACTGATGCACTGAGGGAGGCATCAGCGGGGCTAAGGGTACCGCTGTCAGTCGAGCTTCAGAGCAGCGCCCCTATGATGCCCTCGAGCGCTAGGACGGCTTCCAGGAACTTACGGAACGAGGATGTTGGCAGGATGTGGATTAGGTCACGCACGGCGCCAAAGATCATGGTTACAATGGACTTGAAGGGATGCGGCGAGAAGGGGACGGCGGCTTCGGTGTGGCCTGAAGATGGCGGCACAGGTGCGCCTTGTCGAGAAGCTCGGGTGTCGCGGCCTTTGGATGGTTTCGAGCTTTTGACAGTTTCTGCCCAGGTCTGTTTTACCGTGGTGCTGGAGGCTGAGAGGCTGGTGCCGGGAGTGGCATCGGTTTCTTGGCAGGTAGGGGATGATACCGCCGGTGCATGAGTGTCAGTCGGGGAAGGACGCACGTCTTGGGGTACATTATTGTCTGAGGGGGTGCTACCCTGCTCACTGCGTGAATTCTTGTCTGACTTGGCTGACGAGGAGTTGCGGAGTGCTTCGCGAGCATCCCGGAACGTTGCGTTGTTTTCTGAGCGGTAACGCGAGATGGCGACCTCTCGACGTCGGGTTGGGCAGGACGAGGACGTGGCCTCATGGCTCTGACGACAGTTGATGCACTTTGGTTCGGGTGATTCGCACCCGCCGTCGTGTGAGGCGCCGCATCGTGCGCATGCCTGGGGACGATTGCAGACCGCGGATATATGGCCGTAACGGAGGCACCGCCGACACTGCAGGGCTTTTACCTTGAAAGGCAGGACCGGAGTTCGAACTAGTCCGTAGAGGAGGGAGTCGGGCCGCGTCTTCCCGAGGAAGACAATCTTCACGAGTTTAGACTTCTCCCCAAGTCGCCGCACGTCCCAGATCTTGACTGGAGCCCGTATCTGGTTCCGGATGTCAGCGTCAGAAAGGCCGAGTTCCAGGTCCCTGATAAGCCCGATGCAGGTGTTCGGGGGGCTGGGGAGGAATGCTCGGACAGGAGTGGTGCAGAGTACCTTGAGGTCCAGGAGTACTCCCTTGAGCTTGGGTGTCCGTGCTTCGACCGCGATTAAGTTCCTTGCCTTGTTGACGCGGACTTCTTTGACGGCACCTGGCGCAGCACATTCGACGTATTCTGTAAGCTTGGATGGACTGAGCGACGCAACCGAGTCGGAGTTGGTGGGGGCGAACAAGACGGTGAACCCCTCTTCAAGTAGCCTGTGGCTAGTAGTCCCGGACGTGCCCGAGCCGCCACTTTTCCGTCGGCGCTTTTTGCCTCGCGATTCGGTCCAGTCTTGGGACCCTTCAGAGTCGTCCATATCGGAGATGCCTTCCTTGAAGGTAGAGTCGTCCTCCGAAGATTCGGCTACCTCATGAGCTTGTCGGGGAGACGGACGAGTCCCCGACGGCATGTGCTCCGGCTCCAGGTGGTAGGTGGGCCTGTCAACTTGGGATGAAGGTTGGCCAGCAGACATTCCGTCGTCGGCAAGGGGCTGAGGTTGGCTCTGCACGAGCCCCCCGCGGCGCTTGCTTGCGGTAGACCGGGCCACCGGGCGATGTTCGGCGTCTCCCAGAAGGCCCCAGAAAAAAAGGCTGAAGTTCAACGCTCGTACTGGCGAGGTTTTCGGCGTTAGATGTGACAGCAGGAACAACACAGCGTGCTTCGAGACGACAGCGGACGCAGCTCAGCGGCAACCGTCCACTTCGGACGCCGAAGAAAGAATCCTGACCCCCTGGTCGGCGTCCCCGCTGCTGCTTTTATGCGTTCTTTCACAGGGGGTAACGCCCCCCGCGCTCTTTACACACAGTGGCGCCCCTATAGCGTCCACAACCCTCAGTGCCCTCAGGGCCATTACAGACGGAAGTGGTTAATATTGGCGAGGCGAAATATGTTGCAAACGGTGATGGTGACAATGTTAACGAGTAGGTCATTGCAGTTCATGGTAAATTCGGGTAAAAGTGAATGCAATATTGCAGTGGATCTGGTCCTAGATCGGGCAACCTTGTTTGAGTCGTCCAGTCTTGAAGAAACATAGTCGGCTGGACTAAGGAGAGGTTGTTTAAAGTATGGAGAGTAACAAACACCCTACCTGAAAGAGGCAATGCCTACAAAATTTACGACACAAGGAAGTATCAGAAAGGCTATATATAGTTTTCTTGCAGTGGCACTAGATAAAGGGGAGTAAGTGTAGGGAATAAAACGAGCTTTACGAAATTGCGCGACTTCACTTTCGGTACATTAAATAGATTGGTGAAGGTCCCAGATAGACAAAGCGTATTAGAGTTTAGGTCGAACAATAGTGAAGAAAACCAACATTTTTAGGTTGGAAGGGCAGCTTTAAAATTCCAAACGAATATAATCAAGACAGTGGTTAGCTGGAGATATCTTTTTTGTAAACATTAACATTCCAACATCGAACATTATTTAAATGAACGCCAAGACATTTGTACTGGTTTGGAGTCTGATGATTTACGCCGCTCATCGTTTGTACCGGGTGGGAGGAGAAGCGCTTAAAGCATAGGTGCATGCACTCATTAATATTCAGACATCTGACAAGTGCGGCACCGGTCAGCCACTTTGTTCCCGTCGTTTTGAAGGAAAAGATTGTCATTGGCAGCTTGTATATATTCGATGAGCAATACATCCATGCAATAAACGAGGCGCGTTGCGTCATTTCAATGCGTTGTACTATTTTCGGAGACAAGTGTTCTTTGTATGAGCTTAAGTAAAAAAGCGGCCGACGATACGAGGTAATAGCTGAATCAAGCAGCGATAAAAGTGCTGCGTTTATCGCTGCAAACGCTTCACTGCAAACCTCGAAGATTCCGATGGTCAACGAGAGCACAGAAACGTTGCCTTAAATTTTATCCTAGCGGTATCTGAATCAATCGGAGGTCCGAGCAACGTAGGGCACATTGCCTCTTTCGTTGCAATATCCCCGTCGGTCACCAGCGAAATGCACACCGTTCCTCCGTATTTTCACGTTATACCTACGTCAAACACCACGCTTAACTCTGAAGTCGCTTTCGACCGGCCTCATGTGACGGCTTCCGCGTCTGAAATCAACTCGCCGAGACGAACGACAACCAACAAAGCATCCGACAAGCTCCGGCCCAGCTGGGGCCAGCCGCTGCATGAGCGCTGCCATCTTTCCTGTGACGTCACGTATTTGGTTTGGTCATGTGACGAGTGGTCTAATTTGCGTACAATGGCAGCCGCCTAATGGGGGTCACTTTCGAGTGCAGCCCCTCTACCTCGTTGGTAGCTATACGACGGAGCCGCTAGACAGAAAAACGAATGCTGAAATTACATGGACAAATGACTCGAGCAAACTATTTGGAGTCGGGAGGTAACTTGCGCTACCCAGCGAAATTTCTAGGAGCATACAAAAAAAAAAAAAAAAACAGTCTGTTAATACGCTGCGACCGATCACGAGTAGACAGCTACCCTACATACATCGCAGAAAACACTAGTACCACGTACTCCACAGCACCGACATATACACAAACACAACAACGACACTGCGCCCGATACTTCCTATTTTTTTTTTTCATTGCCGGACGTGCACTTCAGAAGCACAATAACAAAGACGTAAATCATACATAAACGACGGCACTAGGTGCGCAGTCTACGAGGGTTGGTGTAAAAGAAATTAAAAAGGTTTCATAGTCAGCAGCGCTTCGATCAGTGGGAGCCACTCAGGCACACACTTCTTTTCCTTTTGAACTTCCACATACAAAGCAATACATTCTCGGAAATATTCCCGCGCCTAGTCCGGATCACTTTCGGCATGACGCACAGCCATTCTGGACTTTCAAATGCAATGCAGTCCCAGCCTCATAATCAAGTCAAACGGAAAGCCCTCCTGGTTTTTAATCGAGAGAAGACGTATTTTGTGCGCTTCTAGGATTTTGTGCGCGTCTAGCATAACCAAGTCAAACGGAAAGCCCTCCTCGTTTTTAATCGAAAGAAGACGTATTTTGCGCTTCTTCAAGGTGCGTTGGAAGACGTCCCAGAAGAAGACCCCATCTCAGCACTCCGGGAACACGTGTTCGATCGTCTCCGGCTTTTTGCATAAGAAACAATGAACGCCCCACGGTACGAAAAAAACCCCTCGTCCAACCATGACTTGACGGGCAAGGTACCCGAATGTAATTTAAAGAAAAAAGTCTTGATGCCTCCGGGTAATGTCATCGTCTTAACAAGGGTTAAAACGTCCTGCCCTGGGTCTGCACGGTATAAGGATCTGCATAAAGGAACAGGAAAAAAAAAGATCACAGACATCCTTATACAATCGTTTTCGAGATACTTCGCTGAAGTACTCAGCTGAAAAACGCATCAACAAAAATCTACACGACTCAACACGGTGGCCATGAATGCCACCTGGCAACGTGGCCGCGAACACCATCAACTCGGGCAGCCTGCCTGCAAGTCTCGTTTCACAAAGAGTGCGCAGAAAGGAGTCATGAACGTCCCTCCGATAAATAAAACGATTTACAATTTGGTGCAGAAACAAATGCGACAAACTAAGCCCCCATTACGCACGCGCCGGAAAAGATTCGTCCTGCTGGACCGCTGCCAAGTGGAGCCCCAAATGAACACCGCGAACACACGATGCAGTTTCTGCACGTTTAACCGCAAACAATGCAAAACTTGTAGCACGTACCACAGTTTGCTAACAAAAAATAAATTGCAAACTGTGGCACGAGCAAAAATAATAATAATAATAATAATAGGTTTATTTCCAACAAGAAAGGTACAGTGTTGGTGGGGGCTTTGGAAAAAAGCTGTGTGTACAGCTTGACTAGTCCTAAGCCCCCCTAAAGCAGCAGCTACAAGCAGCGTGGACGAAAAAAAAAAGAAATACACTGAGAACGCTAAACAAAAAAGAGATTGAACAGTTGGCAATGAGATATATGAAACTAAAGAAAATAAGCAGGCACTATAGAATAACGTCACTTGCTCATCGTTCAAGGCACTATAACAAAAAATACAATATTTAAGAGTAGACAAAAAATAGTACTGCCCCACATCGTTCAAGGAAAAACCAGAAAAATAGTCAACGTTAATTAATTGTACAATACACAAAACACAAGCACATTCCCCTTTACAAAAAAAAAATAAATAAAAATACTCAGAAAATACACACAAAGGCACCGTTCAATCGTGGCCGATTTGCCCAGAGAGTATCATGTCCCGCAAGGTACCCACCGATAACGTGTCAAGTTTTATGTTGTGCATATGAAGGTGGTTAAGGATGGTCGGTAGTGTGTATGCTATGGTATGATGGCCATAATTTGTTCTAAAAAGAGGCACTTGCCAGGGCTGCAGAATGCGCGTTTGGTACGAGTGTACTTTTTGTGTTAGATTCGCTAAATATTCAAGATGATGTACATGCATGTTTTTTTCAATCATATATTTTGCGCAAAGGCGATATCTATACAAATCAAAAATTTTAATTACACCCAGTTGAGTAAAAAGTGAATCCATTGGACATTCGAGTGGGACTTTGCAAATACTTCTTAAAATCTTTTTTTGCAAAATTAATATTTTTTTTACAGTTAGTAAAAGTAGTTGTGCCCCATACTAGATGACCATAGTTTATTTGGGAATAAAATAATGAATTATATATTAACAACTTTACCTTAAGGGGAAATATGTGTTTATTACGATATATCAAGCCAACAATGCTGGACAATTTGGATATAATGTAGTTAACGTGATCATCCCATGACATTGTCTCTGAGAAAAAAATACCCAATGTTTTAAAAGAAGAGACTAACTCAATTCTAGAAGAGTTTCGCCGTATTCATAAACATTCCCCCACTCGACTCCAAACTCGACTCGACTTGAGTGGAGTATGGACGCGCGACTCCACTCGAAGTGCCATTCGTATTCACAGACGCGAATCGGCACTCACTCGAACTCGAGATTCCGTTCTCCACTCCAACGAGCTTGAGGACGTCTGGGAGCGAGAATATAGCCAAAGGTTTTATTCAAAACACCATTTTCACGTGAAAAATAAACATATTCGTTCGTTTTATCTAAAAACGTGTACCATACAAACATCGAATTAGTGAACTACGAAGTTTTATTAAGGCAGCGTAAAGTTTAGACGTGTTTGAGCGACAAAACGGACAAAGTCGTTATCTTGTCTGGCAACAAGCGCATTCGCTGGCTGCGTCTTGTCGTTCTCTCGTCGACGGTCGTCCATCTCACGGTTTGTCGATCTCGTCTCGGTCTTTCTTGATTTCGCCCCGTGCAGCCCTGCTTCGTCGCCTCGCCGCCTCGCACGACGAATAATGGAGGACCCCAACGGCAACGACTCGGAAATGGCCGATACCGAAGAGCGGGCAGGGGCTCGTTTTATTTATACTGCGGAGGAGAAGGCGCTCCTCCAGGCGCTCGTAACCAAGCATGCGCGAGTGCTAGAAAGCAAAAAGACAAATAACTACTCGAAGGAGGCTAAACTTAAAGCTTGGGAGAAACTCAGCACCGAGTATAACAGCCAGCCAAACGTCCGCCCACGAAGCGCTAAGCAACTTAAGAAGCGTTGGGAGAACGAAAAATCCAGGTACAAAAAAACGAAGTCCGACGAAACGAGAGACATCCACGCCACGGGTAAGTCGACCATTTGCATATTTGGTAAACCGTTCCCGATGTGTAAAAAGTAAACATCGGAGAGAAGTCCTTTTCGGCCAGAACAA